TCTGGACAACAGAGCAAGACTCTCTCAAAAAAAAAAAAAAAAAAAAAAAAGATTAATTATTGTAAGATGAGTTGCTGGATGGAAATTTCGTTTTAGATTTTTGGATGTATGTGTACGTTTGTTTGTTTGGAGATGATGGAGTTTCACTTTTGTCGCCCAGGTTGGAGTGCAATGGCGAGACTTCGGCTCACTGCAACCTCCGCCTCCCAGGTTCAAGCCATTCTCCTGCCTCAACCTCCCAAGTAGCTGAGATTACAGGCATGTGCCATGATGCCCAGCTAATTTTTCTGGTATTATTAGTAGAGACGGGGTTTCACCATGTTGGCCAGGCTAGTCTCAAAACTCCTGACCTCAGGTGATCTACCTGCCTTGGCCTCCCAAAGTGCTGGGATTTTAGGCACAAGCCACCATGCCCAGCCATGTGTGTGCATTTTAATCAATGTAGAACTCACTGTGATTATCACAACTTTTTTTTTTTTTTTAAGACAGAGTCTCCCTTTGTCACCCAGGGTAGAGTCCAGTGGTGTGATTTCAACTCACTGCAACCTCCACATCCCGGGTTCAAGCTGTTCTCCTGCTTCAGCCTCCAAAGTAGCTAGGATTATAGGCACCTACCACCATGCCTGGCTAATTTTTGTGTTTTTGGTAGAGACGAGGTTTCACCTTGTTGGCCAGTCAAAACTCCTGACCTCAGGTGATCCACCTACCTAGGCCTCCGAATGTACTGGGATTACAGGTGTGATCTGGGATTACACTGGGATTACACTGTGCCTAGCCTGACCATCACAGTATTTTGTGTAAAATTCAGTCCTCGTGACTTTTTGTGTCTGTTGTGGTATTTTTCAAGGATCTTAAGGAGCCTACGTGGAAGCAGTGGAGAGAGTTCCTGGTCAAATACTCCTTCCTTCCATACCAGCTGATTGCCGAGTTTGCTTGGGACTGGCTGGAGGTCCATTATTGGACATCACGGTTTCTCATCATCAATGCTATGTTACTCTCAGTTCTGGAATTATTCTCCTTTTGGAGAATCTGGTCGAGAAGTGAACTGAAGTAAGTATATTTTAATGGTGTCATAACAGGGGATAGGAAAGAAATACCAAATGAAGGAAAGATCCTCTTTGAAGTATTTCTCAAACTTGAAATAAATCCTCCATCCATCCAGACCCCTCATACTGGGTTGAGAAACCCAGCTTCAGTAGTGAATAGGACAATTACCTTGTGTTTTGGGGGTGGGAGTTGTGGTGCTCATTGTTAAAAGAATTTTTCTGTATGTCATACCTCTATGCAATAACATACCATTTAATTTCAGGGGGAGGGGTTCAAAGGATTTTAATAATCAAGGAATAAGCAAATGAGTAGAAAAGGTTCTGTTTTAACATAGGCAGCCCTGTGCTAACCTAACCCCTAAATCAGGAAGCCAAGAGGCTGAAGAAAGAAGCTGACAAATTCAGTTTCTCAGCAAGAAACATTTAATAAGGCCTTGCAAACAGAAGCCCTGTCTGTGTCTTGGGTGGTAGTGGGACAAGATGGTGGATAACCAGACCCGGAGCTTGTATATGTAGGGAAGGGGCATACATGCTTCAGAAGGGATGTGCAGAACAATTGTTAAGGTCAAGATTTATGTGAAGAACATCAAGAGAACATCAAGTCTGTTTAACCTAAGGCCAGGATTTACGTGAAGTATGTGCTCTTACACAAGAAACAATAGATAAACCACAGATCTTAGAGGCTTCCCCGAAACCAGAGTTAATGCGCAGTCACCATGCCACCATGCCCCATTAGCATCCAATATAGAGTTGCTTTGGTCTCCACAGGATGCTTTATAAAAAATGGCAGTAAGGTAGAGCATATAGAGATCTCATAGGGATTTCTGTAGGCATGAGTTCTAATCCTGATATGCCACCAACTGGGATAATAATAACTTAGGCTTCAAGCGTGGCTGGACCCTGAGACCCAAACGCTGTCACCAGGACCTGACTCTTTCTCTGTCCCTCACGGCACTGTTCTTGTATTTTCTGCTTCAGGCAGCTCTCTTCATGTAAGGGCCCTTGGCTACTCCACTCCAGGTTTTGATCTGTGCAGCTTAGCAAACCTCCAGAAAGAAAGCACTTCCTTCCCCGTGGCACTCAAAGAGGTCTCAGGGCTCACGCGCCTTTGTTCTGATGGACCCAGACCTGGGTCACATGCCCACTGCAATCTGTCACCCCAATCCTGTGGTGCTACCCCAGGCCTTGGGCATGGGCTCACCCTACAACCAGAGGCTGGCTTCAGCCTTACCCAGACAGACCGCATGGAAAAGAACAAAGGAGAGAGAATCACAAAAAACTTAGAAGCTGTTGCCAGGCATGGTGGCTCATACCTGTCATCCCAGCACTTTGGGAGGCCGAGGTGGGTGGATCATCTGAGGTCAGGAGTTTGAAACCAGCCTGGCCAACATGGTGAAACCTCATCTCTACCAAAAATGCAAAAATTTGTCAGGTGTGATGGTAGGTACCTGTAATCCCAGTTACCTGGGTGGCTGCAGCAAGAGAATCACTTGAACTCGGGAGACAGAGGTTGCAGTGAGCCAAGATTCTACCATTGTACTCCAGCCTGGGCAACAAAGTGAGACTCTGTCTCAAAAAAAAAAAAACAACTTAGAAGCTGCTTCCAGAAGAAAAGGATAGTAGCTGGACAGGCAGAAGTAACACTGCCACCCTTGCAGCCTTCCATCTTGACATTCTGTGACTCGAAGCCTTATGAATGGTTCTGAGAACCCAGCAATCTCCCTCACCTTTCCAGTGGTGACTCACTAGGTAAAAATAAAAAAAGAATCTCCCTCATTTCTTTCCATTTAGCAAACTCACTTATTTATACACAATATGCATATTTATGCCCCTGCTGTACTCCTGGTTCTCTGCTGGGCATGGCAGATCTTTTGGTAAAGAAGACAGTCTATACTGTGAAGGCCTACAGCCTAGCAGAGAAAATATGTATGTTAAAAAATAGATGGCCAGAGGCCGGGCACAGTGACTCATGCCTGTAATTCCAGCACTTTGGGAGGCCGAGATAGGCAGATCATGAGATCCCAAGATCGAGACCATCCTGGCCAACATGGTGAAACCTCATCTCTACTAAAAATACAAAAATTAGCTGGTGGCACGCACCTGTAGTCCCAGCTACTCAAGAGGCTGAAGGAGGAGAATCTTTTGAACTTGGGAGGCAGAGGTTGCAGTGAGCCGAGATCGAGCCATTGTACTCTAGTACTTCAGCCTGGGCAACAGAGCAAGGCTCTGTGTCAAAAAAATAAAAAATAATAAAAAATAAATAGATGGCCAGGCATGGTGGCAGGCGAGAGAGTTGCTTGAGGCCAGGAGTTCAAGTCCAGCCTGTACAATGTGGCAAAACCCCTTCTCTATTAAAAATAAAAAAATCTAGCAAAAATAATAATAAAATTTTAAAATCACTCAATGTGCTTACAACAAAAAAGAAAAAAGATAAATAAAAAAACTAACTGGGTGAGGTGGTGCACACCTATAGTCCCAGCTACTCGGAAAGTTGAGGTGGAAGGATTCCCTAAGCCCAGGAGTTTGAGACCAGCCTGGGTAACATAGCAAGACCTTGTCTCTACTAAAAGTAAAAAAATTAAAAATTAAAAAAAAAAAGCCAGGTGTGATGTGTGCCTGTGATCCCAGCGACTCAGGAGAATGACTTGAGACCTGGAGGTCGAGGCTGCAGTTGGCACATTTGCACCACTGCACTCCAGCCTGAGCAAAGGAATGAGACCCTGTCACAAAAGAAAAAAAAATAGATGTAAGTGTAACAAAGCGATGAAGCAGGTGAAGTTGAGGCTGTCACAGGGAGGCCTCATCCGGTGTGGGAACCAAGAAGCTCCCTCTCGGTCACGTCCTGGGAGTTGAAGATAGGTTGAGTAGGCAGAGGCCTCAGGCACCGGGGACAGAAGACAAGGCCATTCAGCACGGGCAGCCACGAGAGAGCACCGAGAAAAGGCCCAGGGCCCGGACTCCTAGTTGTGGTCATGAGACGCGCCTCCAGTTCAGCCTCTGAACTGCCTCTCTTCTTGTTTCAGGACTGTGCCTCAGAGGATGTGGAGCCATTTCTGGAAAGTATCAACGCAGGGGCTTTTCGTGGCCATGTTCTGGCCCCTCATCCCTCAATTTGTTTGCAACTGTTTGTTTTACTGGGCCCTGTACTTTAACCCAATTATTAACATCGATCTTGTGGTCAAGGAAGTCCGACGTCTGGAAACCCAAGTGTTGTGACTGGCACTGCCCAGTCTCAGACTCTTCAAGTTCCACCGATGTCTGAGCTTTGATGCTTAAGTGGGGTGAGGCAGGGAGCGGAATTCCTATTTTCTACCCCCAGTAAAACAAGGTGCTGCTTTGTATGTCAAACGCTCCAACCATGTCCTCCCCCTCGGCCTGTGGGTAGCGTCATCAGGGACTGACATCCTTGCAGGGAGGACTGTCTGTTTGGCTGACACAGCAGCAGCCCTGCCCACCCAGCCACCTTCCTCACAGGGACTGGGAGGTTCAGTCCCCAACGGCTGGCAAGACTCAGGGTCCTCAGTGGACGTGGTGTGGGTGACATCAGACGGGTGCCACATGAGTCCCCTCCCCAACATCAGTGACTGACAGAGGATCCCAGATCTCGGAGCCCGAGACCAGGCTTGTGGGGTCCTGGCCCGTCCTCTAAGTCAAGTTTAGGAAAACAAGGATAAAATTCTGTCATAGGCATAGAGAGTTGCATATAAAAAATACAGAAGAAGAAAAAAATACAGAAGAATGATGCTATATATGATACAAAGCTCATCAAAAAAAAAAAAAAAAAACTGAAGAAAACCCAAAATTCAGTCAACAATTCTGTCTTATTGAAGAGTTGCTAGGATTCAGAGTAAAAACCTCTCAAAGCATTCAGTTTGAGCCTAGAGTGGTGATTAGACTTAGTCACAGGGCTTGTTTTTGTTTTGCTTTATGGAAGTCATTGAAGGTCTGGATCCCTTTCTCTGAATGGAGAGATTGAGGGATGTCAGACGGTGCATGGAAGGCAGTTCCTATTAGATTGAGTGGCCTCCATGCTATTTAAAATTGTTGTGGCAGTGGCTCATGCCTGTAATCTCAGCACTTTGGGATTGTGAGGCCAGCAGATCACTAGAGGCCAGGACTTCCAGACCAGTTTGGCCAACATGATGAAACCACGCCTCTGCTAAAAATCCAAAAATTAACCGGGTATGGTGGTACACACCTGTAATCCCAGCTGCTTAGAATTGGAAATCGCCTAAACCCTGGTACGCATCTGTAATCCCAGCTGGTTAGAATTGGAAATCGCCTAAACACCGGAGGCGGGGGCTGCAGGACAGAAGACTGCACCACAGCACTCCAGCCTGGGTGACTGTGGAAGTCGGTCTCCAAAAAGAAAAAAGAAAAATTTCATCTGTAAAATAAATTCCAGGATAGTCCTTTTGTTTAAGGAAACATTTTGTAAATTGACCTCACACTGTATAATCTTTATTGTCCTATCCTGATGTATAAAACAGCAGGTATAATTACACCAAGTGCTATAATTATAAATATGGAATGAGGTGAACTATAGCCTTTTATTTCCTTCCAGTGTGAACACAGCAGTTGTGAGATGTCATCTAGGAAGACTGGACTTGCAGAAATAGGCCTGCATCCAAAATATTCTCTTGTGATTCCACGTACCGTTCATTAACCCTTTGTATCTTTGAGTGAAGATTTTATTCAAACTTTGCATCTGGAAGTTTGAAGAAATTACTTGAAATAAAAATAAAGATTTTTTTACAGATAAAACCTATATGTAGAGAAAAAGCGATTTTCTAGAAAATACACAGAAAAAAACTGCATTGATGGATAGAATCTTCTAGTCATAGGTCAAGTATGGTTCACACCTTTAATCCCAGCACTTGGGGAGGTCGAGGCAGATGGATCATTTGAGGTCAGGAGTTCGAGACCAGCCTAGCCAACGTGGTGAAACCCTGTCTTTACTGAAAATAGAAAAATTAGCCAGGCGTGATGGCGCACACCTGTAGTCCCAGCTACTTGAAACACGGAAGCAGGAGAATCACTTGAACCCGGGAGGCAAAAGTTGCAGTGAGTCAAGATCACGCTACTGCCGTCCATCTGGGTGACAGAGCAAGACTCCATCACAAAAAAAAAAAAAAAAAAAAAGCCAGATGCAGTGGCTCATGCCTGTAATTCCAGCATTTTGGGAGGCTGAGGTGGATGGATCACGAGGTCAGGAGATCAAGACCATCCTGGCTGACACAGTGAAACCCCATCTCTACTAAAAATTCAAAAAATTAGTTGGCTGTGGTGGCATGCACGTGTAGTCCCAGCTACTTGGGAGGCTGAGGCAGGAGAATCACTTTAATCTGGGAAGCCAAGGTTGCAGTGAGCTGAGATTGCACCACTGCACTCTAGATAGACCGACAGAGTGAAACTCTCAGGAAAAAAAAAAAAAATCCTCTAGACATGCTTAAATCCCCCAGCCTGACCCAGATATTAAGCCAAGGAGCCACCCTAAGGGAAAATGTTTTTTTCCTCATTGTGTGTTCTCATCAAGCCCCAGGGCTGCTTGATTTGACCTATTTAATGCTTGTGACCTCCCAGGGACACTGACATGGCAGTGTTTGTAAATCCCTGGTCTCATGCCTTCTAGAGGTTGCCAGAATCCTCCTTTACAGGTGAATAGATGGAGGCTGGCTGGCAAAACTCGCCAAGCTGGTGCTGGCTGGCTTTGGCAGAGCTGGGCCTGGGTCACCCACCTCCACCCCATGGCTTCCTACACTGTCCCCACCTGCTCCCACGCCCTGCTTCAGAGATGAGTAATACCCAGATTTGCTCCGGGACTAGGGCAAAGACATGGCCTAGAGCAAACAGGCGGGGCAGGAGCTGACTCCTTATCGCCAGCAGGAGGGACAGGCACCCTCACAATCATAGCAGGCTGGGTATATCTAAGGGGGGTGTCTAAAATAGTCCGAGTTGGATGCGGTGGCTCATGCTTATAATCCTGGCACTTTGGGAGGCTGAGGTGGGTGGATCATCTGAGGTCAGGATTTCAAGATAAGCCTGGGCAATATGGTGAAACCCTGTCTCTACTAAAAATACAAAAAAATTGGCTGAGCGAGGTGGCTCACGCCTGTAATCCCAGCACTTTGGGAGGTTGAGGCAGGTGGATCATGAGGTCAGGAGTTTGAGACCAGCTTAGCCAACATGGTGAAATCCCGTCTCTACTAAAAATAAAAAAAAATTAGCTGAGTGTGGTGACAGACACCTGTAATCCCAGGCACTCAGGAGGCTGAGGCAGGAGAATTGCTTGAAACCCGGAGGCAGAGGTTGCAGTGAGCCGAGATCTTGCCATTGCACTCCAGCTGAGGGTGGTAGAGCAAGACTCAGAAAACAAAACAAAAAAAATGAGCTGGGCTTGGTGGTGGTGCCAGTAATCCCAACTACTCCAGAGGCTGAGGCAGGAGAATCCCTTGAACCTGGAGACAGGTTGTAGAGAGCCGAGATTGCCCCACTGCACTCCAGCCTGGGTGATACAGTGAGACTCCAAAAAATAAAAAAACACTAGGCTGGGGGCAGTGGCTTATGCCTGTAATCCCAGCACTTTGGGAGGCGAAGGTGGGTGGATTGCTTGAGGCCAGGAGTTGGAGACCAGCCTGGCCAACATGGTGAAACCCCATCTCTACTAAAAATATGAAAAAAATTAGCCGGTCATGGTGGTGCACACCTGTAATCCCAGCTACTCAGGAGGCTGAGGCAGGAGAATCACTTGAACCCAGGAGGCAGAGGTTGCAGTGAGCCGAGATTGTGGCACTGCACTCCAGCCTTGGCAACAGAACAAAACCCAGTCTCAAAAATAAATGAATAAAATTAAAATTAAAAAAAAATACTCAGACCCAGCTAGCTGTGGTGGCTCACATTTGTAATCCTAACACTTTGGGAGGCTGACACGGGCAGATCACTTGAGCCCAAGAGTTTGAGACCAATCTGGGCAACATAGTGAAACCTCATCTCTACTAAAAGTACAAAAACTAGCCATATGTGAGGGCATGCACCTATAGACCTAGCTACCTGGGAGGCTGACGTGAGAGGATCACATGAGCCCAGGAGGTTGAGGCTGCAGTGAGCCAAGATTGCACCACTGCACTCCAGCCTGGGTGATAAAGTAAGATCCTGTCTCAAATAAAATTTTCAGACCCGCCAAGCGCAGTGATTTATGCCTATAATCCCAGCACTTTGAGACGCCAAGGCAGGCGGATCACCTGAGGTCAGGATTTCAAGACCAGCCTGGCCAACATGACAAAACTCCATCTCTACTAACAGTACAATAATTAGCTGGGCATGGTGGCATTCGCCTGTAGTCCCAGCTACTGGGAAGCTGAGGCAGGAGAATCGTTCAAACCCAGGAGGCAGAAGTTGTAGTGAGCCAAGATCGAGGCACTGCACTTCAGCCTGGGTGACATAGCGAGACTCCATAGCAAAAAAAAAAAAAAAAAATCAGACCCTTTGATCAAAAAATGCCATTTCTGCAAATCTGGACTAAGGAAGAATAGGTTATGGGGGTGGGAGTGGTGAAGATTTATTTACAAGCATCCTCACCACAGCGACTAATGGAAACAGAAAATAGCTCCAATATCTAAAAATTGTCAATCTATAAAATGGTATCTAATACAGATACTTATTTATTTATTTGAGTCAAGGTCCTGCTCTGTTGCCCACACTGGAGTGCAGTGATGTAATCATAGCTCACTGCAACCTTGGACTCCTGGACTCAAGTTACCTTCCCTCCTCGGCCTCCCAAGTAGCTGGAACTGCAGGTACACGCCACCACGCCTTACTGATTTTTTTTTATACTGACTGAGTCTTGCTGTGTTTCCCAGGCTGGTCTTGAACTCATGGCCTCACGTAGTCCTCCCTCCTTAGCCTCCCAACGTATTGAGATTACACCTCATTGAGATGAGCCACCTCATCCAATCCTAACACAGATATTTTAATTGAAGTTTCCAGGCCGAGCGCAGTGGCTCACGCCTGTAATCCCAGCACTTTGGGAGGCCGAGGCGGGTGGATCACAAGGTCAAGAGATCGAGACCATCCTGGTCAACATGGTGAAACCCTGTCTCTACTAAAAATACAAAACATTAGCTGGGCATGGTGGCGCGTGCCTGTAATCCCAGCTACTCAGGAGGCTGAGGCAGGAGAATTGCCTGAACCCAGGAGGCGGAGGCTGCGGTGAGCCGAGATCGCGCCATTGCACTCCAGCCTGGGTAACAAGAGCGAAACTCCGACTCAAAAAAAAAAAAAAAAAGACAC